ATGGGAGGCTTTTTCACAATGTGTAAGTGTAATTGTTCTTTTAACTGAATTAACCTCTGCACAGAGTAAAACGAACTCTGAAAATTTAACAGATCAGTTTCACATGCCCATTTTCACATAAAACATGGCTTTGGGGGTAACATCACTAAATTGTTTGAACTTTGCAAAAAATGTATATATGTGTGTGTGTGTGTGTGTGTACTGTATGTATGTATGTACATGGGCGTCAAGTCCTTGACATTGCCATAGTCCTATGTCTTGGATTCCCCACCGCGCCACCTAGTGTCTGTGTAAAAATACCTATTAGTGTTTACTCCGATGACTGCTTTAGCTGGACTGCTTACAGTTTTTATTTATTTATTTATTTATTTATTTGTTTATTTATGCTGAAGGGGGATTTTTACATTATGTTCCAGTGGGTTGAGCTTTTTGAAAAAATTATTTAGAACAAGCATAAAAACGGAAGGCACAAAAATACAGATGTGGGCGTGGCAAATTGACTCTCTAGCACCCTGTAAACATCAGCCCCTCCTATGACTTTAACATATTTATGTAACATTTGATACATAGGTACAACATTCTGGAAATGAAAACGTCTCTTGGCACCAAATTGTAAAACCGACAGGAGGCCATTTTGAATGAAACATCAAATTCTGTCAAATATCACGTCATGCCAAACATTATTTCATCTTCAAATTTGAAAWTATCGACTTCAAATTTGGACCAAAGCTTCTTGACAAGAGAGTGTGCAAGAATTATAGTACAGTTTTTCCCAAATGATGTGGGAGTTTTTTTATTTGCCTATTTCTACATGAGCACATTATTGGGAGTTACATCAAGATAAATTATCCAAACATTGTAAAAACATACTTAATAGACATTGGGCCTCATGCAAGAACCGTTCGTACAAGATTTGTTCTTHARTTGTGCGTAYGAGTGATTTAGGAGAATTTGTGKCATTCACCAATGTTTTCATATTCTAAGATTTTCTTCAGATATGAACAAAATTCACGAGTGGTCCAGACCTGTCGTATATTTTACGTGCAGTCAGTCTGCTGTTATCCAGACGGGTTTTCCTCCCTAATAACTTTATATTTCGTTAGTTTGAAGATATTTTGCGTTGAAAATAAATCACACTCTATGATTATGTTGACAATAGGCTATTCTGCTTGAATTAGATTTATGATTTTAAATGTAATAATTTAGACTAACAATATAAATTGTCCGTCTGGCCGGCTTATCCGGGATCAAGTTGCGGGGGCAGCAGCAGAGAGACCCCGCTCTCTCCAGCGACACTTTCCAGCTCGTCCTGGGGGACTCCGAGACGTTCCCAGGCCAGAGGGGATACATAATCCCTCCAGTGAGTCCTGGGTTTTCTCCAAAGTGCCAGACTTATTTTGAGAACATTTTAAAATGCTTATTTCGGAACCACAACTGAGACCACCTGCGACCGGTGCGTGGCGGTGTGTCTTCTGAATAAATGAAAATGATTTAACACAGTTGTTTATACTTTTAGCAGCTCTTTTTATTCCACAGCTGACCTGCTAAAAATGACAGATTTTCTTTTCTGGATCTCTGACAGACGGACTTCAATCTCTGAACTCGTAAAGTTCTTCTGTTTAGTTTTCGCTGTCATTTTCATGAATGGACACTTCTTTGTATCTGAGGCAGGAAACATAGCCTTATATGGTGCTTTTGGGGTGGTAATTATGCTAATCTCCTCTCGCGTGCACAAGCAGCTGGATACAAACAGGTGGAATTTATGCAGCTCATTTACACACTTTTCCTGAAGATAACTACTACTATAGCTTCAGATGCACGCATGGTCCAGATCGCCCTGGTGAGCAGGGGCCTTTTAACACTGCTTGCAGTTTGAATAATGTTTGAGTTCACATCTAGCACAGCCATGGTTGGAAAATAGGAAATATTTTAATGTTTGCTTTTGTATTATTTTACTTTTAGTGTGTCTAAAAGTATATCATTTTTTTGTGGCTGGTGCATGTACACGTGTCAGGACACATGTTGTTTTATTGAAAGTGCTTTTTAGAAAGGGGTCAATGAGTGATTTCACAGATTTCTTCCCTGTGACTTACATCAGAGGAATTTGGCAAATGGACTCTCCAGCTGATGTTTTGGATTAGTTTCACTGTGTGTCCTTGTGAAGTTGACCCTAAGCAGAAACAGCCCAGCTTTAGGTACAGTTTTTTCTTTCTTTTTTTTTTTTTTTTGATAGGTTTAGCCTATTATGGACTTACAGAAAAGTCAAACTGGTGCCATGTTTATTAGCTCACATTGACTTGCAGCAGTTAAGCATCTTATTGATATTACTCAGCTGACTTGTAATCAAACATTACTAAGGTAGCTTTCATTGAGAGGCAGTACTTTTTGAACTTAAAATAATCTTCTGTTGATGTTCACAGGGAAAGACAAGCTCAAGCAGATCTGAGGTTTTTTTGTTTGAGTTTTTAAATATTTTTTCATGATTCTGCAATTTACAACACTTCCTTAATCTTASTTTAGTTACCAATGTTAGCCATAAAACATGCACTCTCAAATACAATCTTGTGGGCGGCTGTGGTGGAGTGGTTAGGGGAGTCGTCTTGGACCCGGACGGTTGCCAGTTCGATCCCCCGTCCAGCCGTCTCAGTCGTTGTGTCCTTGGGCAAGACACTGCACCCACCTTGCCTGCTGATGGTGGTCAGAGGGTCCGGTGGCACTGGTGCATGGCAGCCCCACCTCTGTAGTTTGCCATCACCAGTGTGTGAATGGGTGAATGTCTGTTAGTGTAAAGCGCTTTGGGGTCTGGAGGGACTTGAAAAGCGCTCTATAAGTTCAGTCCAATTACCATTTTATAAATAAATAAATAAATAAATAAATAAATAAGAAAACGTGTCGTTATTATGACATGTATTTTTTTTCCATTTTTATTTTTAAGATAAATTCTTAAAACCAATATAGAGCAAGAAATTATTTCAATAGAAGTAAAATACAAATGGTTTTCTGAACAAACTTGAATTTTATCTTGTGCTTCTTGTTTATCMTATCGTTTTTACTGCTTATCAAACGTTTGATGAACAGTAATTGCTGTTAAAACATTATTAGTTGAGTGTAGATGGCTTTGGCAAGGTGTCAAGGGCATTATCTCATATTTTTCCTTTTTTCAGTAAATCTTAACAAACTTTGTTTCCTGACACTTTTTTTCTAGTTTAATCCTTTGCTTTTTTCCCCCAAATTACACAGTCTAATTCAAGCCTATTTTTTCCCACCGGTGCTATAAGTTGTAGCGATCTGCTGTGGTTCAACT